TTTGGGAACCTCTCATTGGCCTTCAGAACTATTGATTACCTACAAGAGTTGGGGACTGAGGTGCTTACAGCAGGTTCTGTATGTTCCTCGGTGGATAACTACAGTTTTGGAGAGAGGATGCAGATCAAGCCAGTGATGGTGCTCATGTGGAGGCCCACAGAGGTCATCTTTTCCCCACTGCTAGAGCTCCTCCAGACGTCGGGAGAAAGGTATCTTCAATGTGCTGGTGATACTCAGCATTATATATTGTTCAGCACTATGTATGATATTCAGCATTACATACTTACACGTTATGTGCAGTATTCCCATTCGCCCAAGGAGGTACATATTTGACCTAATAAAAAGAGGCATTCATCTCTTTACAACCAATGAACTTTGCTTCTCCACAGTTCCACCACTGACGGTACCTAATGTGATCATGCAAAATTGGCAACTTGTTTGTGCATCATGGGCTTACATATCTGAATAATGGAGTAATAATAATAATAATAATAATAATAATAATAATAATAATAATAATAATAATAATAATAATAATAATAATAATAATAATAATAATAATAAAAAGTTGGAAGGGACCTTGGAGCTCATCTAGTCCAACCCCCTGCTAAGGCAGGAAACCCTATACCATTTCAGACAAATGGCTGTCCAGTCTCTTCTTAAAAACTTCCAGTGTTGGAGCATTCACCGCTTCTGGAGGCAGGTTGTTCCACTGGTTAATTGTTCTAACTGTCAGGAAGTTTCTCCTTAGTTCTAGGTTGCTTCTCTCCTTGATTAGTTTCCATCCGCTGCTTCTTGTCCTGCCTTCAGGCGCCTTGGAGAATAGCTTGACTCCCTCTTCTTTGGGGCAGCCCCTGAGATATGGGAACACTGCTATCATGTTCCCCCTCGTCCTTCTCTGGTGGCTGGTGGGTGACTCCCAAGGCCAATAGAACAATGTCTATATAGAGAGTCTAAAAACATTGGGTTAACTTTCATGAATAGACAAAAGCTCGTTCCCAGAAGTTTGGGTTAGCATTTCAATTTTCAAAGATGGAACTGAAATCAAAGTCTTTGTCTGTTTCTTTTTTCAACAGAGGAAACGAAGCAGGTTTTGAGGCTAAGTTTAACGGAGTTCTCATTGCCCAAATTCTACTTGCTGTTTGGAATTAGCAAAGTGAAATCTGCAGCGGTCATTGCATTCCGATCCAGCTATCGGGACCGGTCATTCTCTCCTGGCTCCTATGAGAGAGAAACATTTGCATTGACATCTCTGGAAACAGTCACAGAAGCATTGCTGGAAATTATGGAGGTATGTATGGCAAGGACATCAAGATACGAGTGTACAAGCATGAGTAAGATATTAGGGTTGCAAAATATGTAATTTGTAGATCATTTAAGTAGCACTTTGGTACATTGATTCTGGCAAGGGCATATTTTATACAGCAGAGATCAGAGTTAAGATTACATTGACATGTTTTGTTCTGATGTATAATGTTTTTATGATAGGAAATAAAAAAGAAAATATTAAATTAATTTGATTGTGAATTCATGCTAGCTCACAACCTAGTCCACATATACAGCAGAATAAAGTGATGAAATGGATTTTACACATCAAGAAAGGGATGATATGTTTCAGGTGTTAAAACAAATGCCTCGCAAGCAAAACAAAGATATATTTAAAAAAAGGATTTAGCTCAGATTGCTTCCTGATACATAGGCTGAATCTATAAACATGGATTAGGGTGTTGTTTTGATGTGATAGAGCATTCAAAAATGAGTCTTTCCCACACTAACGCAATGTGATCTATTATCCTGTCTTAAAATTCAACTGTCACTTCCTCTTGCTGGAATAGATGGCTGTTGTGTGTATGCATGAATAAGTAAAAGTGTGTGTGTGTGTGTGTGTGTGTGTGTGTGTGACAGGGAGGGAGAGAGAAAGAAACTGTAGATTATTTTCTGTCTCTAGGGGCCAGGGAGACACTTAAGTATGGACTGCAGCCACACTCGTTGGTTATGTACAGGAAATCCCCAACTTAGGACAATTATTTCTCTCTGAGCTTGATTGTTTTCTTGCAGATCTTTCATTACCCAAACTAGGTAACATCATCAGAGCACATCAGCCAAGCTCAGAGAGCACCAAGGACCTTTCATTTTAACCCTGAATTACAAATATTCTCCTTTATTGGGAGAACAATTCAGCAATTAGGTCTTAAGTCAGTGGTTCTCAACCTTTTTAATGCCGCGACCCCCAACCAGTCGTAAGTCGAGGACTAAACCAGTCGTAAGTCGAGGACTAAACCGGTCGTAAGTCGAGGACTTTCCCTGCCCGGGAGCGCCACGCATGCATGGTTCCGCCCCCTGCGCCGGCCGAGGCGTAGCTGGCAAGCGGCAGAGACGGAGCAGGCCGACCACCAGCTGGCCCAGCCCAAGGGAAGTAAGGCACCCGCCAGAAAAGGAAAAAATGGCGGACAAAAAAAATGGCGGACAGCCTTGCTTGGCGACCCCCGTGAAATGGTCGATCGAACCCAAATGGGGTCACGACCCATAGGTTGAGAACCGCTGTCTTAAGTCATCGCGGTCATTAAGCGAGATGACCATCTCGCTCAATAACTGCAATCCCAGCACTCCCCATTGCAGTCATTCAGCGACTGCTTGGGTCGTTAAGCAGACGGAGCAAAATGTCTGCCTGCAGAAGTGGCCAGGCAGCTCCCCTCCACGTGCAGAAGGGAACTGCAGTACTAGACTGGAGAAAAGACGCTCCGTTCTTCATGATCCAAGCTTCTCTTCTCCAGCCCAGCGCTGAAGTTCCCATCCTTTCCACGGCAGGAAGGAATTCTGAACTGAAATCCGTGCAGGTTTTTGGCATGGAACATTTGCCCCATTGGGTGTTTGGGCCAGTCCCTAAAAACAAGAGGGAGTTCTCTCACTTCTGAGGACTGGCTGCAAACGCCCTATGCTGCAGACGTTTCGTGCCAAAATCCTGCATGGGTTTGGGGAGGGACTTTTTCACCCAGTCTCCTTGAGGAAGGTGGAGTGATGGCTCAGCAGTTAAGATGCTGGGCTTGTTGGCTGGAGAGCCATCAGCCCAGGTTCGAGACCCGAACGTCGCGCAGTAGAGTGAGCTCCCGTCCTTGCCCTAGCTCCCGCTCACCTAGCAATTTGAAAGCATGCAAATGGCAAGTAAATAAATAGGTACCACTTCGGTGGGACGGTAACAGTGTTCTGCAACATCATGCTGGCCACGTTGACCGTGGAAACATCTTCGGACAGCGCTGTCTCAATGGCCCTTGAAAGGAAGAGGAGCACTGCCCCCTGTAGTCAGCAGAGTAAAATCCGCAGGGACTCCCTCTTTGAGAGCACAAGCACTGCTTCGTGGAGAGACTCTGCCCTGCACAGCGCAAAATCAATCTTGCTTTTGCTGTCAAAGAGGCTGGCTGTGAAAAAAATACCCTCTTAAAATTCCTCCCTGCTTAGATTTCATGGAGGATCTCTTTCAGCCAGCCCCCAGGAGCCAGAGACAGTCCTCTGGGCAGGCAACAGCAGCTTGCATTGTCTTTTTTGGGGAAGCCAACAGGGAAAATGGCACATGGCGAACATATGAACATAGGGCACTTGGCAAACAGCCCCCCCCCCATGAATGCAGACAGGTTGCCCAGTGCCCAGATCGCAGTCACATGACCATAGGGTTGCTGAGTGAAGAGAAGGACGAGGGGGGACATGATAGCAGTCTTCCAGTATCTCAGGGGCTGCCCCAAAGAAGAGGGAGTCAAGCTATTCTCCAAAGTGCCTGAAGGCAGGACAAGAAGCAACAGATGGAAACTAAGCAAGGAGAGAAGCAATCTAGAACTAAGGAGAAACTTCCTGACAGTTAGAACAATTAACCAGTGGAACAACCTGCATCCAGAAGCGGTGAATGCTCCAACACTGGAAGCTTTTAAGAAGAGACTGGACAGCCATTTGTCTGAAATGGTATAAGGGTTTCCTGCCTGAGCAGGGGGTTGGACTAGATGACCTCCAAAGTCCCTTCCAACATCATCATCATCATCATCATCATCATCATCATCATCATCATCATCATCATCATCATTATTATTATTATTATTATTATTATTTGTTATTATTATTAAACAGTTGTAAGTTTGGACACAGATCATAAGTCCCTTCAACCAAGTTGTAATTTTGAACAGTCGCTGAATGAATGGGCACTAAGTGAGAACTAGTTTGATTGTTTAAGGCTGCCAGCAGAAAGAAAGTAAAGAGGAATATGGGTGTCATTTTTCAGTTTCTGGAGTGTGTAAAAACAACCCCACAATNTTTGGGAACCTCTCATTGGCCTTCAGAACTATTGATTACCTACAAGAGTTGGGGACTGAGGTGCTTACAGCAGGTTCTGTATGTTCCTCGGTGGATAACTACAGTTTTGGAGAGAGGATGCAGATCAAGCCAGTGATGGTGCTCATGTGGAGGCCCACAGAGGTCATCTTTTCCCCACTGCTAGAGCTCCTCCAGACGTTGGGAGAAAGGTATCTTCAATGTGCTGGTGATACTCAGCATTATATATTGTTCAGCACTATGTATGATATTCAGCATTACATACTTACACGTTATGTGCAGTATTCCCATTCGCCCAAGGAGGTACATATTTGACCTAATAAAAAGAGGCATTCATCTCTTTACAACCAATGAACTTTGCTTCTCCACAGCTCCACCACTGACGGTACCTAATGTGATCATGCAAAATTGGCAACTTGTTTGTGCATCATAGGCTTGGAGTAATAATAATAATAATAATAATAATAATAATAATAATAATAATAATAATAATAATAATAATAATAAATAATAGTAAAGTTGGAAGGGACCTTGGAGGTCATCTAGTCCAACCCCCTGCTCAGGCAGGAAACCCTATACCATTTCGGACAAATGGCTGTCCAGTCTCTTCTTAAAAACTTCCATGTTGGAGCATTCACTGCTTCTGGAGGCAGGTTGTTCCACTGGTTAATTGTTCTAACTGTCAGGAAGTTTCTCCTTTGTTCTAGTTGCTTCTCTCCTTGATTAGTTTCCATCCATTGCTTCAGGTGCTTTGGAGAATAGCTTGACTCCCTCTTCTTTGTGGCAGCCCCTGAGATATTGGAACACTGCTATCATGTCTCCCCTCGTCCTTCTCTGGTGGCTGGTGGATGACTCCCAATGTCTATATAGAGAGTCTAAAAACATTGGGTTAACTTTCATGAATAGACAAAAGCTCGTTCCCAGAAGTTTGGGTTAGCATTTCAATTTTCAAAGATGGAACTGAAATCAAAGTCTTTGTCTGTTTCTTTTTTCAACAGAGGAAACGAAGCAGGTTTTGAGGCTAAGTTTAACGGAGTTCTCATTGCCCAAATTCTACTTGCTGTTTGGAATTAGCAAAGTGAAATCTGCAGCGGTCATTGCATTCCGATCCAGCTATCGGGACCGGTCATTCTCTCCTGGCTCCTATGAGAGAGAAACATTTGCACTGACATCTCTGGAAACAGTCACAGAAGCATTGCTGGAAATTATGGAGGTATGTATGGCAAGGACGTCAAGATACGAGTGTACAAGCATGAGTAAGATATTAGGGTTGCAAAATATGTAATTTGTAGATCATTTAAGTAGCACTTTGGTACATTGATTCTGGCAAGGGCATATTTTATACAGCAGAGATCAGAGTTAAGATTACATTGACATGTTTTGTTCTGATGTATAATGTTTTTATGATAGGAAATAAAAAAGAAAATATTAAATTAATTTGATTGTGAATTCATGCTAGCTCACAACCTAGTCCACATATACAGCAGAATAAAGTGATGGAATGGATTTTACACATCAAGAAAGGGATGATATGTTTCAGGTGTTAAAACAAATGCCTCGCAAGCAAATCAAAGATATATTTTTTAAAAAGGATTTAGCTCAGATTGCTTCCTGATACATATGCTGAATCTATAAACATGGATTAGGGTGTTGTTTTGATGTGATAGAGCATTCAAAAATGAGTCTTTCCCACACTAACGCAATGTGATCTATTATCCTGTCTTAAAATTCAACTGTCACTTCCTCTTGCTGGAATAGATGGCTGTTGTGTGTATGCATGAATAAGTAAAAGTGTGTGTGTGTGTGTGTGTGTGTGTGTGTGTGTGACAGGGAGGGAGAGAGAAAGAAACTGTAGATTATTTTCTGTCTCTAGGGGCCAGGGAGACACTTAAGTATGGACTGCAGCCACACTCGTTGGTTATGTACAGAAAGTCCCCAACTTAGGACAATTATTTCTCTCTGAGCTTGATTGTTTTCTTGCAGATCTTTCATTACCCAAACTAGGTAACATCATCAGAGCACATCAGCCAAGCTCAGAGAGCACCAAGGACCTTTCATTTTAACCCTGAATTACAAATATTCTCCTTTATTGGGAGAACAATTCAGCAATTAGGTCTTAAGTCAGTGGTTCTCAACCTTTTTAATGCCGCGACCCCCAACCAGTCGTAAGTCGAGGACTAAACCAGTCGTAAGTCGAGGACTTTCCCTGCCCGGGAGCGCCACGCATGCGTGGTTCCGCCCCCTGCGCCGGCCGAGGCGTAGCTGGCAAGTGGCAGAGACGGAGCAGGCCGACCACCAGCTGGCCCAGCCCAAGGGAGGTAAGGCACCCGCCGGAAAAGGGGAAAAAATGGCGGACAAAAAAAATGGCGGACAGCCTTGCTTGGCGACCCCCGTGAAATGGTCGATCGACCCCAAATGGGGTCACGACCCATAGGTTGAGAACCGCTGTCTTAAGTCATCGCGGTCATTAAGCGAGATGACCATCTCGCTCAATAACTGCAATCCCAGCACTCCCCATTGCAGTCATTCAGCGACTGCTTGGGTCGTTAAGCAGACAGAACAAAATGTCTGCCTGCAGAAGTGGCCAGGCAGCTCCCCTCCACGTGCAGAAGGGAAGTGCAGTACTAGACTGGAGAAAAGACGCTCAGTTCTTCATGATCCAAGCTTCTCTTCTCCAGCCCAGCGCTGAAGTTCCCATCCTTTCCACGGCAGGAAGGAACTCTGAACTGAAATCCGTGCAGGTTTTTGGCATGGAACATTTGCCCCATTGGGTGTTTGGGCCAGTCCCTAAAAACAAGAGGGAGTTCTCTCACTTCTGAGGACTGGCTGCAAACGCCCTATGCTGCAGACGTTTCGTGCCAAAATCCTGCATGGGTTTGGGGAGGGACTTTTTCACCCAGTCTCCTTGAGGAAGGTGGAGTGATGGCTCAGCAGTTAAGATGCTGGGCTTGTTGGCTGGAGAGCCATCAGCCCAGGTTCGAGACCCGAACGTCGCGCAGTAGAGTGAGCTCCCGTCCTTGCCCTAGCTCCCGCTCACCTAGCAATTTGAAAGCATGCAAATGGCAAGTAAATAAATAAGTACCACTTCGGTGGGAAGGTAACGGTGTTCTGCAACATCATGCTGGCCACGTTGACCGTGGAAACATCTTCGGACAGCGCTGTCTCAATGGCCCTTGAAAGGAAGAGGAGCACTGCCCCCTGTAGTCAGCAACGACTAGCAGAGTAAAATCCGCAGGGAACTCCCTCTTTGAGAGCGCAAACACTGCTTCGTGGAGAGACTCTGCCCTGCACAGCGCAAAATCAATCTTGCTTTTGCTGTCAAAGAGGCTGGCTGTGAAAAAAATACCCTCTTAAAATTCCTCCCTGCTTAGATTTCATGGAGGATCTCTTTCAGCCAGCCCCCAGGAGCCAGAGACAGTCCTCTGGGCAGGCAACAGCAGCTTGCATTGTCTTTTTTGGGGAAGCCAACAGGGAAAATGGCACATGGCGAACATATGAACATAGGGCACTTGGCAAACAGCCCCCCCCCCATGAATGCAGACAGGTTGCCCAGTGCCCAGATCGCAGTCACATGACCATAGGGTTGCTGAGTGAAGAGAAGGACGAGGGGGGACATGATAGCAGTGTTCCAGTATCTCAGGGGTTGCCATAAAGAAGAGGGAGTCAAGCTATTCTCCAAAGCGCCTGAAGGCAGGACAAGAAGCAACGGGTGGAAACTGATCAAGGAGAGAAGCAACCTAGAACTAAGGAGAAACTTCCTGACAGTTAGAACAATTAACCAGTGGAACAACCTGCCTCCAGAAGCGGTGAATGCTCCAACACTGGAAGTTTTTAAGAAGAGACTGGACA